CCATCATATGATTGAACTCGTTCTTCGCTAACCTTAGCTTTTCAGGAGCTAATCGTTGTGCTTTAGAGAATACAGGTGGTCCTGTAGTCGTGATGTGATGTGTAACGTTGCTGGTTACACACGGTAGTTTCGGTTGAATTTGTTGTATCCCAGGGTACTTATCGAGTAGTGGTTGATAGAGTGGGTCTATCATATGCTTAATTGTGACCGGGGATAATCTGTAACCAGAAACGAAAGTTACGCAAACGGATAAATTAATGTTTCCGTCTATTAGCCACCGTTTGCGCTTATTGATGCCTAGATTATGGTGTTGTAGAAGGTCTATGCCAATGATTGGCATAGAAACATCTGCAACAACGAAGGTCCAGTGAATGGGTTTGCGTAAACCCACCTTAAGGTAAACGTACCTTTCGCCATACATAGCGATAGGTTTTCCGTTTGCCGCCTGTAAGTTTAAAGCCGATTCGTGATGTCGGTCGTCAGAATTCGCTGGAAGAACGCTAACTTCTACGCCAGTGTCGACGAGGTAGCGAACTCTCGTTGTTACATCTGTGACGTATAACAGACGGCTATGTTCGCCGGCTATGGTTGCCGTTAACGCGTGCCGGCTTGGAAGTTTCCCCAGTTGTTTTTCGAGTCAGTCGGTTTTGAGATGGGAAAATTGCAGGGTTTTCTTCGATTTCTGGAAGACTTTCCATACTGGCTATGATACCAGCACCAGTCAGGGTTATCCGTCTCTCGTCGTCTGGAAACAGATCGCTTAGGTGAAGTACTTCTACATGGGGTGAGTGATCGCTTACGGTCGCTACAAAAATTAAGATAATGTGTAGGTGTATGACATAACTCCGTTATGCCATTCTGGAACGTTTGAGGCTTTTCTTTGACTGAAAAAACCTCGGTAGTAGATTTCGTGATTTCTAAGATGCGATCGGTAGTTGCAGCCAGCTAGTTTAAGAAGTTGTTCTGAAACGAGACCAGAACCGCTTGCAATTGTTGGGGAAGTTTGGACAAGAAAAGTTGCTTGAATGGGCCTTCGTTGAACGTTCTTAGGCCGATTACCTCTCTCATCCTTTACAACATGTCCGTCTCAGAACCGTGCTGCAGGTTCATGTTATTAAAAAGTTGGTCTAACCTTTGTCGATCGGTTAGGTCTCTTCGTTTAAGAATCGAACCTTTTAAGGTTTTGTACGATTTAGAAACATCACTAGTAAACATACTAGGTGTTACATACCTATTGAATTCCCGCGATAGTGCCTTAACCACTGCGATGAATTGTGCACGTGTGTCGTTCACGCCGTGCTCGTGGAAGTCGGCTTCTGCGTAACAGAACCAGGCATCGATATTGTCGGGCCAGAAGGGCATGAGTTGGAACGAGGATGGGGACATGGTCTTAATCTTAAATACCTTAGGAGTCTGTTCGGTCATAATGGGATATTAAATACGAGAATACGAGGGGAAAATATATAAATATACTAAAACACGGGGGGAAAATATCACACTGTAAAAAAAAACAAGGCAATAATGTATAAAAAATCCCAAAAAGGAACAGACTCACAGTTGCAATTAGGTGTACCAGATCAAGTCGATCTCACCAACGAAAATTACACAGGTATTCAGTGTTTGACAACGCTTTTACCAGCAACACCTTCTAATATAATTCGTACCCACCAAGAGAAATCAAAAGGCAGAGTCGAGGAGATCGGAAGAGTGTATTTGGCGATTACCAATATATCGGAATTCTCTGATCTAATCTGGCTAGCGATTGCGGTAGATGTTGAGCACAGCGTTACCACACGTGATCTGGTGCGGATGCCTGACCGAGCACCTTCAGCTAGATGAGTCCGCTAAAACATATGGTCAGCATCCAATGTTGAAAACTTACAGAGCTATTTATTTTGGGGATTTATTTACCGCTACAGATCACTCCTTCCCTAGTGAGGTAGTGATGATCCTAAGACGTGCCTAACCAGAAGTTTAAACTCAACGAATTTGTCGTTGGTAAACACTCTTCTGATAGCTTGCTAGGTTTAGCAGCGTCTGGTCGTCTTTCCTTACTATATGGGACCGAGGTCCACCATAGTAATAAAAGTAAAGGTACAATGAAAATTTCGGCTCCTCGTAAACTGCATCGTACTTTTCCAGCCGTCCTGGAAAAGAAAAAAGAAAATGTAAGTGCATGACGAAATACACTCGTATGTGCGTGAAGACACAATGTCGGCGAAAAAAATGTAAAGTAAACTCAAGCACACATAATAGTGTTTAAAAATTTCTGTTTTTTTAAAAATAAAAATAAAAATATATAAGCATAGTAAAATTGTTTTTTAAAGTATTATATATCATAAAAAGAAAGATCGAGATGATATGAAATGTCGAGTAGTACCTTGCGTGCAGTAGTCGTTTAAATGTTTTGGAAATCTTAATCTTCTTCCAGAACGTGTCGTTTTAAGTTCATTTTCAGACGCATTCGGTGTGTCATCGGTAGTGTTGGTTGTTGGTTGAGGAATTATGAGTGTAGGAGTCGTGTTGTGCGATTGTACCGAAGGGAAATCGACGTGAATAGGATTTCCTTCTAAATACACTGCTTTTAAGCGATCGATGCTGATGCTATCGTTTGTTCCATTCTTATCGACTATATAGTATTTAGATTCGCGTTGAAGAACTTTGAAGTGTCCTTCGTATGCTGATTCGAATAATCGTCGGTGCAAGTCTCGACGAACGACAACAAAAGTACTAAATCGTAAGTCAGGTTAAACGAAAACATCAGCTGATTGTGGTTGAGTGGAAGCAGGTTTAACTGAACGCATTGCGTTTGTAAGCCTGTTAGTGTAAGAGGTTAGATCTATGTTTATTGAAGATGAGGGATCCACGAATTCTCCTGGAAGTCGAAGTGTCGTTCCATAAACGAGTTGAGCCGCAGTGTATCCAATGTCAGCTTTCACTGAATTGCGAATTCCTAGTAAAACGAGTGGAAGAGCGTCGGTCCACTGTGAAACGTTTGAAGCTGATAGTGAAGCTTTTAGTTGTCAGTGAAAACGTTCTACCAACCCGTTCGCTTGTGGGTGGTAGGCAGTTGTTCGGAAGCGAGTGATTCCTAAAAGTATGGTCAGACGACGGAAAAGTTCAGATTCTAACTAATGTTCGCAATTTGTAGTGATGGTTGGAAGGCGACCGTTACCAAGCTAACGACAAATTGATTACTGTCTCTTTCCGGATACATAAATCAAATTTATAATTTTTATTACTACTGCTTTGGAAAACCAAAGAGACGGTGTTTTTCCCGTCTGCAAATGATTTTGAAGGATTGTAGAATGCCCATAGTTTATTCGGTATTGAAGATGACACAGGTATTCAGTGTTTGACAACGCTTTTACCAGCAACACCTTCTAATATAATTCGTACCCACCAAGAGAAATCAAAAGGCAGAGTCGAGGAGATCGGAAGAGTGTATTTGGCGATTACCAATATATCGGAATTCTCTGATCTAATCTGGCTAGCGATTGCGGTAGATGTTGAGCACAGCGTTACCACACGTGATCTGGTGCGGATGCCTGACCGAGCACCTTCAGCTAGATGAGCCCGCTAAAACATATGGTCAGCATCCAATGTTGAAAACTTACAGAGCTATTTATTTTGGGGATTTATTTACCGCTACTGCTCTGTTTACAGCCCGCAGTCTCAATTTATTTGAAAAGTACTCAAAAATGAGAACATATGCACTTTTCCCTGTCCGTCTAATTTATGTACCTTGTCACGTACATGTAAATTAGTAGATGTAGATAGGGGTACTGATAAAAGAGGACCTATCAACCTCTGCTTGCTTGAACGAGCATTTCGTTTTACATAACGTCGTCAGTTTTGTTGGTGGATAAGCAACCTTCATCGTGACATTAATCCTGCGATTGACTATTCAAATATGATGAAATGTTGATAATTATGGAAAATAATTTTCTTGCTTCGATCAGCAACCACAGATATGATTATTATTCAAGTGATTTCATCTGTAAAATGCAAATATAAGAAACAGGTTTTATTTCCCACTGTATCGCACTGAAGATGTACTTTGATTCCGGTATACCTCTCGATGAATTTCGATGGACAAGCATTTTCACGTAGAAGATTCATAATGAAGGCAATTTCTTCCAAGCTTTACTTTGAACAAAGTTTATAAGCGCAGTCAAAAAAGTTTGTGCAATCCCCTTTTTATAACTTATAAGACTGGAGCTGTTGTAATTTAGACAGATTCTACTCCACGTATTTTTGTGGCAGATGGGTCTATGTAGTGTGCCGTTTAACGTTCGTATGATTTCAAAATCTAAGAAATGGAATTTGCCTCCTTCTTCACGTTCGATTGTAAAACCTGTATCTGTGTGTGTTTCGTTAAACAGATTGCCAGGTGTTGTTTACCCATAGTTGTAAGACTTCGATTACCTAGTTTGATGAGTCTTCTGCGATACTAATGGGTGCTTTGATGACCTGGTGTACGAGTTTAGTTGATCCCAAGATGATTTTTTTGACATTTAAGGAATGTCGTCTGTAGCCATAAGAACTTGGTTAGACTCTCTAACCAAGAGTTGAGCATCTCAAGATGACTTTCAGGTCTTGGTTACACATGGGAGTTCTATAACTACATATAACTAAAGCTAATGTCATAAAATTCCAAGCCTAGTGAATCGGCTAACCGATAAAGGTCAAGGTTTGAGGTAGGTTTCCAAAAGTGTGCGCTACCTAAATAGTTTGTCTTACAGATTCTTAATAAAGACGTTCTGTTGTTTTTTAAAGTTTAAACGTTTTCTAGCCACCTTAAAAAGTTAGTTTCAAACATATGGCTATCTTTTCGAGCTTTATGAAAAGTTGTCGTTTATTCTAGAGCTATGGCCATTCTTGAAGAATATCCTTTTTTATGAAAGCATATTGTCTCCCTTTCAAAATATGAGTGTTTTGTAAATTATGGGAAGTATAAGTTGGTAATAGGTTCGATTGTTTCTTACTTACTGCTGGGACTCGTTTGGTTTCATTAGCTTTCGTAAACATGGATTAGTTGTCTTAATGCAATATCTTTAACGAACTTCGTAAGTCTTGTAAGATAATAAACATTCACAGAGTTTTTAAGGGCTATGTAAAATATCCACACACTTCAGGATCTTTTGATGGTGGAAGCACCAGTACAACATCCTTGTATTTTCATGTCGTGTAACCACTTTTAAGGCTTTCCCGAAAACCTTAGTGATATTCCGTATACAAAGTGATGACGGAAATACTCTTAAGCATCATGGAGTACTCCAGCTGGTGTTTAAAGTGGTTCGAAAGGCCTGGTATCACTCTGAAACCAAATCCCGTTCGTCATTACATTACTACCCCGAACTCCCGAACCAACAAAATTCTCTTTTGATTTTAAACTTTTTGGCAACCTATGTGGCCCTGATGGACTGACTGAGACTAAAATTTCATAAAAATATAAGAACCCTGATTTTCCCTTCACATAAGCATGCTCATATCCGTGCAATATTTTTACCACCAAAACTTATTTAAGGTTAGTAGGACCTATTGGCTGCGTAAAAGCCCACAGACATCAACTGCTGTTGTAAATCTCCGAACTTAACGGCAAATGTTGACATTAAAGGTTAAGTTATTCTTGTATAGTTACGGGATTCGTAAAGTGTTGTTATCAGCAACAATTAAAAGGTACGCAAGTTTGGTGGTGCAATTTAAAGAATCTTTGCTGAATCAAATCGTCTCTGAAAGCGACTTGCTAGTGGTCTGTTATCAAAACAAATAGTTGGAAGAAATAAACAACAGCGAAGAGTGACTCTACCGACCTTCAATGGTTTTCATAATCTTTAGTAGCCTTTTTATGAACAACATAATATGAATTGTAGATCCCTGTTATATGTATTCCTGATGCTTCCGTGGTTTTATCATGATTGCCATACATTTGTTCATAAAATCCATTCTTCACAGACCATGTCTGGTGACTGTTCCGTTTCCTGTCAATGTGACGATCCCATGAATACCCACCAAGCTGATGGGGATGATTTGAAGACGATGGAAACGGAAACAATAGTTGAAGAATTTGTCAGATTAAAGCTAAAACAAAGTGCAGGAATTGTTCAACGCCGGCGAACTTCAACTGATATGGAGTAAGACCAATATAAATGTCGTAAAATAAATTTTAGGACACAAGCTCTAATTGGTCGTCTTATAGAAATATCAAATGAGTTAGAAGCTCAATATGGCGAACGGTTGAATCAAGATGCTGAAATGTGGATCAAGTCAGCCACCTATGAAAAGTTTTTACAGATTGCAAAAGGGTAAGTGCTTTTCCACCTCCTTACTATTTTTATTGTAAATATTTATTATGAATATTACTTTATGTAGTAGAAGCATCTCTTAGGAAATGCCGTGTTGTGTCCTGTTTTTGGATTGTTTCATGATCCCGTACGATATGAAATGGAGATTATCTGTAGAAAGTTGCGAAAATACTTGATTATTTCGTTACCAGTCTCTGATTACTAGCAAAAACGTCCCAATTTCCAGGTCTAGATCCCCATTTTACATTTGTTATTCTTCCTACTAGTTTGTTTGACCTGATTCTAATTAACTTTATAATAAATTATCCGGTTTATTTATTTAATAAGTGTGTATTATAATCAGAAAAAAGTATAAACTAAGAATCTCCATGAATCCTTAAACGTTTATGGTGTTATCGATTGATTCTTGTGAGAGGTGGTAGAGCATGTTATCAGCTTGTTCGCTACAGTTCAGTGGACTGAAGTCTTAACGTTTTCGATCTTTTGTGGTATTAAAACCTCCGGAATCAATATGATGGAATGTATGAGATAATGTTTTGTGGATAGTAATTTTCTGCTTATATTTGAGATTTAAACTATGTTTCACATGCTACCGTGAGCAAATTTTTATAGCGATATTCCTCTACTAACATAAAGATGTCAACTCTAAAAAGTCCATGTGAGAAATTAACAGCAGTTAGCTTTATAACTAACTACTGCTTCTAGTTTAAAATGTAATCTTTTTTCTTAAGATCGTATTCAATTTGAAAAAGAAAAATCCAAGAATATATGGTTTTATGAAATTGTGACTCTCAGTTGATCTCAACCAACTAAATTGTTTTTAAATTCTTATCTTATCTCAGTTATTGCTGTAAAATAAAGTCACTAAGTTTTTAACTTATATGGTAATCATGATTTGAATACAACGAAAAACAGTGATAGAAAAGGCAGTTGTTTGAACTCACTAAAAATTGTCGTTATAAAGTCTACTATTCTTGGAACTGTCTTTGGAAATGGTAGAACCGTGGTCTACTCTTACACCAAACAACTAAAACGATGGGTTGAGCGTCAAAGTCAAACTAGCTGTCAATTGCTTTCCGGTCCCCCATCACTCACCAGCAGCTTGAATGGGAGATCGTTGTCACGTTTTCATGTCAATGAAGTTTAAAAAGCACAACTAGCTAAGCGAAGAGTATCTGATGTTGGTTGGTTAACTTCGTATATCTCTAAGCTGGTTTTGTTTTAACAGTCAGGTTAACTAAGAAAACTATGGTTTTGGAGGCTAAACGTAATTCCTTCAAACTGATCACAGTTACCAATCATCCTAGTTTAGAAGTATGAACAGAAATTTTCCCATAATAAAGTTTGGCCAATATAGTGTCTAAAGTATAAACATCGATAGTTATCACACTTACTGTTCCCTGACTCTTGTTGTATTTTTCTGACGTGGAGATTTAATTTGACTTTTTTGGTTGACAGACCTCATAATAGTTTGTCCTTTAAGAGGCATACCAAATAAGTACACCCACCACTTGAGTGCCCTTTACTCGAACATTATCAGTAAAGTTAGAGCTTATGATAAACCGTCATATGGTTCGGCTACATTAAGAGGCTTTCTCCAGAGATTCCTAACTTTTCCTTTTTATTTGATTTTTTTAAAGACGTTTTTTTGTCTAATTTTTTTGGAATTAATCACCTATTACGAGGTTTATTTGTTCATTTTGGATACCCAACTAACAGTTCTGTTTAGCAGACTTCTGTAAACGTTTAATTTTCTAAACACTACAGAGATGCCTGGAATGCGTTTTTCTTTACCAAATGCTAAACATTGCCTCATAACTAATCTAGGTCAGTACTTTGTCTTGCCATAAGGAGTATTAGTCGATCATCGAAACCACTTCACTCATCTTAGAAGTTTCATTTATTTATTTGACACATAAATACTGGTACAAGGGGACACCAGATACTTATGCGCCACACAAATCAAATGAGATTTGTGTGAAAGCTGTGATACTGACTGGGTGCTCAGACTGAAGCAGGTGGTTTTCTGAGAGGGCCACACCCGGAGCCTTCGACCCGAAGGTCTGACCCACAATGTATTGGAGCATCGTAAGGAGATGTAGTCCCATGGTAGCCGTTGACCAACGATCGGTTCATATGTCATTTATTCCCTTAGGGTACTGGAGCCCATGTGCATCATTGGTTTGAAATCATGGTTTTGCAACTTCCCTAGATGGACTCTCCGTGTCCATCGGCCTGGTTAAAGCGCCAGACATTTGCTTTTCGTCCTTTCACTTCCGTAAACAACACCCCCGCCAGGAGAAGGGAGTGAGTAGGACTTCCCTATCATAAACCATACACCTGTGAGGGCATTTCGAGAGGGAGGGCGAACTTTCTCCACTCTCGGCCGTACCAGGGCATTTGAGGGCAGTGAATTCTCAGCATAGATACCAAAAAGCTCAATTTTTGAAAAATTTACTCCATCTGTAGTACAGCTGTATTATATCATGGTTGCTAAAGGTAGTCTATACAAGTAGGAAATGCATAGGCTGAAACTATTTGACCTTATGTTTCCTTAAATAACTACTTGCTTATAGTTAAATCATGAAGTGAGTAATGCTGAGGTAAGTCGATTGGTGAGAGTATAGACTTTCGTCATCTGAGTTGATTAAAATATGTGTTACTTGTGTTTATCTACCATCTTTTGAATTGAACTAAGGATAAGACAAATAAGTTACCACGATACATTTCTCATCCACATAATAACTTTTTACACAGATTTGGCTCTATTTGTATCGACAAATATTCGTAGTTAGACTTTAATAATAGAACTATATTCACATAACGTGAAATCTAAACGACTAAATATCCAATTAACTTCATGTATTCAGATGTCGTTATGTATATTATTTCCGTATTATTTTTTGTAATGTACACAAAGATAACGATTATGAAGGATCTTTTGACCTGCAAAATACATATCTGTAATTCTTTGCAAGCCCAAATTATACGTATGAAATTTAAATTTTTTCGCTCACTGGCTATTCTAGGGTCTCATGATTACACTAGAGTCGAATTATTTTTTTAGATTGCCTGGTTCATTTTCACTGACCTTTCTGTGAACATATTTTAAACTATATCCATTGGGTTTATTTAGGAGTTATAATAAAGAAATTTCATTCCTTTCTTGTCCGTAACTCAAACGTTTCTCATGCATTATGTAGATAACTATTTTCTCTTAAGCTTAAAAACTAACTAATCTTTACTAACTCCTTCGCCTAATGTTTTTAGAATACTGATTATCATGTATTCGACTTTCATTGTAGTTATTTTTAGATTGAACCACTGAGAGTCACAAAACATTTACTGCCACTCAGGTTATTTTCAGAACGATTTTTAGTACATGATTAAGCTAAATGATTTCCAATCGATCACTGTCTAGTTACCAATATCGCGTTGTCTACTAGTGATACAACTTGTCCATAAGGTAACTCCTACCTTCAGTTTTTGATACGGTAGATACTACAACCCATTATCCTTTTCCTAGCTCATTTCAAATCAAAAGACTTGTATTGCTTCGATTTCTTGGGACAAATTAAAGAATATTGATTTAGGTCAGTGATTGCAAACTAATCCACTTAGAAAGTCCTCAGAAGTCGGAAAAATTAATTTACTTACAGGCAACAAACCATAAGAGAAAAGGCTTCTTTGAAAGCGGTAAAAAGTGAGCACTCTTCGCGTGAAAAGTTTTTTCTAGTGAAAATAAAAGTTTGGAAAACTACTGTACTAGTACTAGATTACCTTATGTTTATCTATTTTCTGATAGTTGTAAAATAAAATTGATTATTATCATTGGACTAATTTATCCATCGAACCATATTGGATATGTTCTACATTGGCTTAACTTTTCAATATTGTCCAGTTAAAGTTCATCGGTAATCTCTGTTTCTATCAATTTATTTTAAAATCATTTTTAGAAAGAGATATATTTCATTGAAATCACGAATCGATCAAATTTAAGCAACCATTGAAAAACTGGAAGCATTAGACTGTTGTTTCATCCTAGTATTCGAGTTTTCGATAAGGCACATCCACGACCCTGCAAACGGGAATCGGACCCAGAGCCTTCGGTCCCGCGTCCGAACTCTTACTTTGTACAGGATTTGATCCCCGTTTATTGGTCCATAGATTATGAACTTCGGTCGGTTCGTGATTCCAGTGAAATTAAATAATCTTTACAACCCTTTACTGTGGAGAAATAAAGTTAAAGAGTTATTTTATTGACTTATTTTAGGGTTTTTTCGGATGGGATTATTAACTGGTCACGAATTGTGGTGTTGTTCATGTTCGCTGTCAAAGTGGTAGTCAATGCAATTTCAAAAGGATTTAGTGGTCTTGCTGGTGATGTCATAAAATTTGTTGTTAAATTTGTTTTTATTCATGGTATATACAAATGGGTCGAGAGTCATGGTGGTTGGGTAAGTTAGCAGTTTTTATTGATTGGACTATTTTTATTAGTCGATAACCGAACCTGAAAAATAATACTTGTTCTTTTCCATCTTCAATTATTCCAGTTTTTCATAGCGATTAATATCTGTTGGAGAACAAGGTAGATAACTTGTACTAGATTTGTACATTTGTTCAGTGTATATAGTTAGAGTTGTTCGTTGACAGTTAAGTATAAAGTATTCCAAAATTCAAATCATAAATTTATTATTATTTAAACACATTGGTACAACGAGGCACCAAATAGATATGCGCCAGATAAATCATTCGATTTGTGTGATTGCTGGAATATTGCTCGGGTGCCCAAACCGAAGCAGGTGGTTTTCTGAAGGGACCACACCTGGAGCCTTCGACCTGTAGGTCTGATCCACAAGGTATTGGAGCATCGTAAGGAGATGTAGTCCCATGGTAGCCGGTGACCAACGATTGGTTCATATGGGATTTGTTCCCTTAGGGTACTGGAGCCCATGTGCATCATTGGTTTGGAATCAGGGTTTTGCAACTCCCCTAGATGGACTCTCCGTGTCCATCGGCCCGGTTAAAGCGCCAGACATTCGCTTTTCGTCCTCTCAATTTCTTAAAGAAACGCCCTCGCAGTGGTTGTATGCACGTGGTCATGTGAGAACGTTTCGAGAGGGAGAGCGGACTCTCCCCACTCTCGGTCGTACCAGGGTACTTATATACAACAGACAAAAACTCTACCCTGAAAATTGGCTGTGTGAAAATCAAAGCAACTAACTTTGAAAAGACGTTCATAATATTTTCACGAATTTTAGCTCTTTAGAATGTTGTTATTACTTTTCCTGACAGAATTGTAGCTGGTACACTCATGTAAATAAAAATTCACATGTGTTTAAGGTTAGAACCATATTGTTATATATGTTGTATCCAAGTTCTAACTACTGATCGTAGTCCACTAATCCAGGAATACAATATTATGTTTTGGCGTAATGTCATATTAGCGAGATTCAGTTTGTGTTCGTGATGATGTACTGAATTTAAGTTTCATACTGATTGACTGGTAATAGGAGAAAATCAATTAGCTTGTTAGCGGCTTATTTACCCATCCGAACTACAAAACAATCACATTCTATTTGATATCATACTTCAAGCTGATTCTATAAGTCTCAGAATCCATTCCCTAATTTTAAGAAAACACTCTCAATTTTCCCCAACACATTTTCTAATAACTGATTTTTAATCATTGTACTACTTGCCATATATATATATATATATATTGAGCAGGATTATTCACGAAGTATGAGAATGTTCAACTCAACATTGAAATTTTTCGTATTTCAATGAAATGTAACAATGGTTTCAATGTATTAATTAGTTTCCAATCTTCATTTGCTCAAAACAACGAATGGTCTATAGTAACAAGTAGAATGTTAATCCACCAGCTGACTTTAAAATCCCTTGAGTAAAGGCAGTGTGTCAGCTTTGTAAAGTGGATTAAACTGAATCGTTTTTTGACTCGCTTAAGAAATAATTCTCCCACATAATTTTGTTTAGAACTATCAGTCTACTTATATTTTACTAGTAGTGTGAAAATACTAGGCTTAAGCTTGGCAAAACAGGCTATTACTACCTTCTGAGCTGGATTCTCGAGGATTTTTGATCTGACCGTATGTTGCTATAATGTACCACTCTACATTTTTCTTACTTCTGCTACTCCATTCAGTCGTTGAATATATAGACAAAAACATAACTAGTTTTGTTATTATAACGTATATTAAATGTAGTGTTTAGATTTTACCGTTTTGATGTACATTTGTCCTTTAAGAATTTCTAAAATTAGTTGTAGTCTAAGGTACTTGTTTGCAACACCGACGCCAGCACAACAAGCGAGACTTTTCTATCCGCATCTTCCCTGCTAGTGAGAGACTCAATTTTATATAAAAGTTTTCTTGGTAGAGACCCTAGAAAAATTGATTTTTATGTAATAACATTAAATGCTTATATACAAAATATTGATGTAAAATTAACATTATAAAATGTCATGGACAACTAGAGAAAATTAGTTTATAGGTCGCTCACTCTCTAATAAATTGAGGCCTAAACGTTGACCAGCATATCATAACAATTAATCAAACAATTCATTTATCTATGACGGGTTTACTTTATTGATTACCACTCAAGTTTCGTCTATTTAAAGATTAGAAATACAGTCGTGAGATTGTTAATTATCGTTTAAATTCTCAATTATATCCAATTTCTCTGAAGTTATGTAAATGTGTACTTAGCGTTGATAAAAAGATTCGTTTACCAAAATAGTTCACTCACTAACCAAAAAACCAACTTCCTGTACAGAACAATTGAAGAGGATTATTTATTTCATAGCTCATCAACCTCATATTTCTTACGTATTAATTGTTGACAAGTCGTACTCAGTTTGTTACATTATGGAGAAATCTTTTACATATCAACAAATATTGATTTTATTCTTTTTTATCCATTCACATTCATAATAGTTTCATACTCTGTTTATCAAAAAAGTAGTACCTGAAACAAGTTATGTGATAGAACCAGGTAATCATTTTCTTTTAAAATTATCTGATTTAAAAGTTATTTCATCCTACGTTTTTATTATTAAATATATTTTAGGTGGCTGTTTTACGCGAGTATACCCCACATTCTAATTCAAGTGGTCTATTTGTATTCGGCCTCACTCTGTTAATTGTTTGCTTATTGTTAACAAGAAAGATTTAATTAATTGTTTGTTATTATTATTATTATTGTTATCTATTTATCTCTAGTTATATATCGTTTGTTAAAATTTCACATGAAATGGGAACCACACATATATAAATTCACTTGGAGCGCTTTCAAGATTAATATTGCTTTATATCGATATAATGTGTTGGTATATCACCAACTACAACCATTTTTAAGCAAATAATAAGAATGTCTATGAAGTACTGTTATTTCATATACTCGTTTATTCCTTTTGTATTTCCATAGTCAGGAAAATTATTTAAAATGGAGACAGTCCCCGAATAAAGATAAGAGTATTCTCGCTCCTAGATACCATGTGACTAATGGTGGTAATTGTAGGTGAACATATTTTTTTCTATATCCTCTTTCTCTTTTTCTGTACAGTAACCTCGTATTAAATGTGCATTTGATGATTAAGTCAGTGAGTGATTAAAAAACTAGGTGTTCTTTGTTAATCTATCAGCTGCTTTCTTCTCACTTTGTTATACAGAAAGGACATTGATGAAGCATATCATGTTTTGAAATGCAGATGAATCTTCCCCATGTCGACTTCTATCTATCTCATAATTTGTAATTCCTGGTTTTTGTTGTTCTTATATATCACTCAAATATATATATACTTGTAAAAGAATAAACAGATGATATTTTCAAAAAAGATCCTCAACTTTAAGTGCCTTGTTTGCATACTGTTAGTAACCAGGTATTTTGTTTATTGTTACTTGATAATATTGCACGGTATATTTAGTCTCTGTTACGTCTTAATGTTTTACTCTCTGTACGTGTTTCTGTGTGTTCGTTTTTCATTATTTAATCCTTTTTAATCAGGTCATCAGTGCTCTGTATCGCCTGTGCACTTCAACTCTACTTCGTCCCATCGATTTTGTTCTGACTGACAAATTCTCGCTTTGCTGTCTTAACAAATCGTAACAAAATAAATTTTTTCTTTTGTTTATTATTTATTAAACTTTAAATCATATATGTAGCATTTTTTCCTTTTTCTTTCTATTATGTGTAAATTTTAATTATATTTTGTCACTGATTAATATCAAAATTGAGGTAAATGTTACTTTTTGATCTTAATCAATTTACGGCAAGTATAAGCTGTTGTATGTAATTTATCCCTATATAGTTTAACCTAAACAATGTAAGATTATAGAGGAGTCTTTGTTAGAATCAGAATACTAGTTGTTTTGGTGTGCTATACCTAAGACAGTCAGGATTCCTGTAAAACACAGTAAATTCGTTCGCCATATTTGATTCGAGAAGTTTGTTGTTTACGTTTATTCAAGAACTCTGAAAGTGAACGTTCGAAGAGATTGATTTACCTCTTCTTACATTCTAAACTTTCTTCATGACCAAATATCAATTCGTCGGACGGGGTAGATATAGATTCCTCCCACTTAGAAGCTCCCATGAGGATAACGAATGCGCCCAATTCCTCATGAGTTTATTACGATTTACTGACTTCTATCGACCTATTTTGGCGAACTACTATTGTAACTCTAAAATCTCTTACTCGTGAACCCTCAGAATTCATATAAAGTCTTCGGAACAGTAGTCAAAACTTGTTACTGATAAGAAAAAATTTATTCCATCTAACAATTGCTGAATGCCGTTATTGTTCGTTCAAGTTGTCAGTAAGAAGGCCTACTTACGCATAGGCCGTCCACAAGTATTCTCCATCGAAATCTGTCCTAGGCAGTCTTTTCCCATTGTTCCTAGTTGCTATTCATGTCTACTTCCGATTCCCGACTCTATGTTCTTTGGCCTTCCTCTTTTCCATTTCCCTTCAGAATTCCAAGTTAGGTCTAGCCTCGTGATGTAGTTCGATAACTTCAGCAATATATGTCCTACCCACTTCCAACGTCTATTCCTAACTTTCTCTCCACTCATAACTTAGTTTGTTCTCTACCACAGTAGGTTGTTGCTGATGGTAATCGGCCAGTGGATGTGGAGTATCTTGCGTAGAAAACTGTTTATAAAGATCTGTGATTTTTTGTTGATGGTTGTATTGGTTCTCCACGTTTCAGTTCCGTACAATGAAACCGTCCTGACTTTGATGTTGGATGACAGTTATTTTGACTCCGAGATGTTCCTCAATTGTAGGAATGTAGCCCTTACTTTGCCAATCCGTGCCTTTATATTTACATCAGATTCTTCTTGTTAATCGGTGATGCTACCCGGATATGTGAAGGTTTCCAGAATTTCTCCACCAAGTGTGATTGGGTTGGTGTTCTCTATGTTGTATTTGAGGATCTTGGTTTTTCCCTTGTATATGTTGAGGCCTATTGGTGCAGAGGCTTCCGCTTACACTGGTTGTCCTGACCTGCATTTGTTGGTGTGCATGGGATAGAAGAGCTAGATGATCTGCGAAGTCCAAGTCGTCTACTTGATTCCGAGCTGTCCATTATATTCCGTGCTTCCACTCAGATGTGTAGGTCGTCATAATCCAATCAACCACTAGAAGAAAGAGAAAAGATGAGAGGAAGCAGACTTGTCTGACTCCTGTTCTCACTTGGAATGCGTCTGTTAGCTGTCCTCCACGCACCACTTTGTAGTGTAGTACGTCGTGTGAATTCCGGATGGTGTTGACGATTTTCTCAGGTATACCATATTGTCGAAGAAAATTTCCATATGGTTTACGTATCCACACTGTCAAACGCCTCATAGTCGAGGAAGTTGGTATATAGTGACGAATTCCATCCAGTTGGTTGTTCAACGGTGATCCATAGTGTCACGATTTGATCTGTGCACAAGCGAATCTTACGGAATTCGGTCTGTTGATCTCGAAGTTGAGTGTCTTTCATCAGGTTTCCTGGTACTGACATTAATGTGATGCCTTTTTACTTCTCACACTTACTCGGATCTCCTCTCTGGTATTTTGATGAGGTATCCTTCTTTTCAGTCTGTCGGCACATGTTCCTCTTCCCAAATCCTCCTAAATTGAATGTGACGCATGTTTGCAGTTGCTTCTAAGTCTGACTTCAGTGCCTCCGCTGGTATATTATCAGGTCCTGCTGATTTCCAACTCTTGATTTGTCTGGTGGACATCCTGGCTTCTTTGATCGTTCGTGGAGTGACATCCATATGAAGGTCTGTATACCTTGCTTCGATATCCAGTGGATTCAATGGAGCATTTTTATTCAAGAGTTCCCCGAAGTATTCTACCCATCTGTTCCTCTATTCTTGAATTTCAGTGATTGAATCGCCTTTGTCGTTGACCGGTTTACCTGGTTTACTATATTTCCCTACTAGTTTCTTCGTCGTGTTATATAGTTGTTCCATATTTCCTTCTCTTGCAGCTTTTGCCACTGCCGTTGCTAGGTCTTCCACGTATTTCTGCTTGTCAGTTATAATGTTCTTCACTTGCTTGTTTGCTTCTGTGTATTCAACTTGTGCCTTGACTTTCTGTTCTTGTTCGACTGTTATTAGTTGCTACTTTCTTGTTCAGGGATTCCATAAAGATCCATTCCCTATGATGATGCTTCTTGGGGCCGAACACTTCCTGTTACATTAAAGTTGGTGCTTCTTTGTTTCCTTTCCAGTTGTTCTTCATTGTAATTTTCTCTTCTTTGAGTAGATGTTGTAAGGCTTGGAATCTGCTGTTGAGAGTTATCTTGAATTGGTTGAGTTTGTCAGTATATCTAAGGAAGGCTGTATTGATTGGTTGTAGTGCTGTTTGTCCAGTTGTCCATTGCTTTAGCTTCAGTTTGATCTTGACAACCACCAGGTGGTAATCTGAAGCAATGTTAGCTCCTCTCCTGGTTCTCACGTCTTCCACTGGGTTTCTAAATTTTTTATTGATACAAATATAATCTATCTGGTTCTCCGTGGTGTTGTCCGGCGAGATCCATGTAGTCTTGTGTATGCGCTTGTATGGAATGTAATGCCGTCTATAACAATTTTGTTGAATGCATATAAATTTATAAAGCTGTTACCATTCTCATTTCTTCCTCCCAATCTTTGTCGTCCCATAGTATCTTCATACTTGGTGTTGTCCATTCCGACTTTGGAGTTTAAGTCTCCCATCAGATGGTGAGGTCTTTTCCTGGGCACTTCTCTGCGATTTATCGGAACCTCTCGTGAAACTGATCTTTATCGTCGTCGCTGCTGTCATTGGTGGTTGTATAACACTGGATAACACTTATTGTGATCCCCTCCTTTGTTTTGAAAAATACTTTGATGATTCTGGGTCCACGAGATGCCCATCCAATATATGCTTCTTTGGACAGCATCAGAGCAACTCCCCGAGTGTGTGAAGCATTTTCTTCTTTGTACCTGGAGTACAGTAGCATCTCTCCCGAATCATTTTCTGTCCAGGTTGGGTCCAACGGGTCTCACGGCTTCCAAGAACCGTCAAGTTGTATCTCCTCATTTCTGTAGCTATTTGACTGATTCTCCCGGTCTCCCAGATTGTCAGAACATTTTATGTACCTATATTAAATGTTTCTCTGGTTGTTAAAAGGGGCATCGGCCTTGTGAGTTCTGAAGAATCTCGTATTGCATTGTCATTCCGCAAAGTATCCAATGAATTGAAGTCGGGGAGTATTTACATTTAAGAGCTCCCGAAAGGTGAGGATTTTCGTAATAATAACTGGTCAAAAAACTGACTTGGACCGTCTATTCAAGCTACCATGCCTGATTCTATTCACATCTCACACTTGTTACACACACTAAGTCAACTCTATCTTTTCTACATTACAATTCTACATGTTTCACCCATTAACACACAAATATGTCTCAAATAAATCACCTTGACTGGATTGGCATTGACCTAGTCGGGCCTATTTTTTATCTTGTTACTTTGCACTATTTAGACTAGAGTTAATTTGATTTGACATGGCTTACACTGAGCCACTAAACATTAGAGAATACCATTGGGGTATTACAAATATATTATTTTTATTGGTAAAAAAACTGAATGTTTGGAACTTCCGTTTAACTATAGGACCCAGTATTCTGGTCTACCAAAAATTGAATAAGGAATGTAGAAATGTGATCATTTGCTGCAGATCAAACTTGTTTCAAGTAATCATATGTAAATAACAGGGATTTTATTGAGAGCACTTAAGCACCAACTGAGTAACAATTATAAGGCTAGAAAGTTTGTCAGGAAACACTAGTAAAATATATTGTAAATAAATTAGCTTTCCTTTCTCTCCCATTGAAATGCAGTATATGCTTCGCTGAATTCATAAGTCTTTTTCCATTGTTACCAATTATATTGTTCCAGTAACTCGGTAAACTTTAGAAACGAAAAATAAATATGACTAATTATTGTAGCACTCTTTATTTTTTCACATTTCCTGAAAACGCTCGCTTGGAAAATATAAGCAAACCGATTTCTGTCAACACAATTTAACTAATAATAAACATTTTTCTTTTCCAAAATTTACAGGACAATTTCAGTTAACCATTCGTGTGTAACTGGAGTCAATTATATATATAATAAAATTGAATAGGGGAGAAATATTTATCTCTCGAAATTGATGTTTCATGATACTAAATGTTTTGTTCAATCTTTTTCTCTAGAAAAGAAGAAATTTCTGTTGTTATTAACACCTTCAAACTACTGTCAATAATAACAGTAGTACTGTGAATTACAAAGGCAATAGTAATAAAATTAATGGAAATGCTAAAACAATAGGATAAACGGATATAATAAGTATCTTTTTAAATTAGAATAAAAAATTCCATGAAATTTAGCTTACTTTAATATTTCCCAATTTACACTTCACTTATTTGTTTTATAATATTGGCATGTTATTTTGAAACTAAGTTATCAACATGATGTGCTCATTAAATATTTTTAACATAAAACAAGCGATTGAGTTAATCTAGTTTTTGTATGATATGGTAATTAACTTAGTTAATAGACAAAAATTGTTCATGATAAACTCATAGTTTAACGGTTAAAACAGAGTTCGAAGTCCCAACCTGTAAATTCGAACTGTATCGTAAATGATTCAGTGCAGATAATTCGGTAACATCGTTTGTTTTATATTTATCAGAGACTGTTTTTAAGATTTATAAGTTTTCAAGTGATTAGTAATTTGTT